TGTTTTCTTTTGTCAGCTGGGTTGGCAGAATTATAGTCTTTGACTCTGCTATATCTATTTAACTGTTGGCTTCTTTCCTCCCACTTTGATTGGAGTAGACCCAGGGCTTCATGTAAAATCCTCCAGCTCTCAGGATATACTCGATGTTGCCGGTGAAGCATTTCAAATGGTCTTGATCATTGTGTGAAGTCAAGATATCGTCGACATAAGCATCTTCTTCCAACACATGTTTCTCTTCTTTAAAATGGCTGAATGAAGGCAAGTTTGCAGTCTCTCGCATGGCAACTCGGGCTATGCAACCAGCAGGTTTGTCCCCATGTTCACTCTTGTTATGGTGTACTCTTCTACTTCTGACTCTTCTGTGTTATGCCACAGAAACCTGTGGAGGTGCCTAAATTAATATTACACGTTCATTTTTCCTTAATCACAGAAAGAGTCGTCTGCAACTTGAAGCTTTAAATTAAATTCATTTGATGTTTCAATAAACTCTACTGAGGTTTTCTGTATATTATATGGTTTTGCTAACCCTTCCCAATCTCTTTACAGGAACTGCAATAAATTGTAGAATTGTTGCATCACAGTAAATTCACTTCAACATGTATACAATAGCTCTTCTTGAGTTTATGATGGTGTTGATTTAGCTGATCTCCATTATATAAGCAGCAGTAGCTCAGGTGGTAGAGTGGGTTGCCTCATGATCGGAGGGTCATGGGTTCGATTCCAGCTCCCGCCAGGGGTATCCTGCTGTTGTGTCCTTGGGCAAGACACTTCACCCAACTTGCCTGTGTTAGTGGTGGTCAGAGGGGCCGACGGCGCCAAATGGCAGCCTCGCCTCTGTCAGACCTCCCCAGGGCGGCTGTGGCTACAAGTAGCTTACCATCACTAGCAGTATGTGAATGTGAGAGTGTGTGAAAGAGTCTTTGGGTGTCTTGAAAAGCGCTATATAAGTTCAATGCATTATTATTATTATTATTATCACTTATATTTCTGTAAACTGCTGTTTAATGTTATTGTCAGTCGTGTTTGCCTTATCGTGATTTGTTCTTTATTATTTTACTTATTAGTTCTTTGTGTTGTTTTCTTTTTGTTTGGTTATCCTATTCGGATAATCAGGAGGGATTATGTTATGGAAATTTTAAAGTTCATTATTTTAATCCTATTGCCTTATGCCTGAAAGCATTCACACACACACACACACACACACACACACAGACACACACACACACACACACACACACACACACACACACACACACACACACACACACACACACACACACACACACACACACGCACACACACATTCTTGTTACCTTGTAGCTTCCCACATACACACACACTGTTCTTCCCATACACACACACACACACACACACTGTCTCTCCCCCTCATGACCTCTGTAACATGATGAAGGAGCCATTTCTACCCTAACAGCTGTTTCCTTTTGACACAGTGCCAGTGTGCATGAAAAAGCCTCAAGGTCATGCATTCGCTTTCAAACTGTTTACATTCCAGCATGAAGACAGAAGAAAGAAGAATGAACTCTTTTTTTAATTAATCAAATAACTCTATTTTAATAAAGCTAAACCATCAAAGTGTTAGTCAATATAATAAGATGTGACCCGGATAAGCGGAGGAATACTTAGTTCTTAAATACTGTAAGCCTAGTTTAATTGTTAGTAATAAAATTCTTAACTTTTAAACTTGACTCTCTCTATTCTGTTGTCTCTGAGTGAATACATAACGGTTACATAATCTCTGCATAAAAAAGATCCGATCTTCTGGTTTAAATAACCCCCGATCCGTGAGGCGGATTTCATATTTCCTATGGAATCCCACGCCTTATGGTTCATTAAATAAAATGTAAGAACCTCTCATTTTTCCCTTACACCTCTCTCCCATTCACGCTCACACACACACATCTCTGTTTCTTTCCTTATCTCATGTTATAAAATAAACTTGCAGAGCTAAACTCGGGGCAGTTGCCTTGGTGCTCTGCCACAGATTGCAATTTACTTGTCTGCTTATTGTCTCTCCTTTTCTCTTCGAGTGCAGGAAATGAGTTCATTGATAAATATATTGATAAAATCCCTAACAGAACTGAAACATCATCTGAAACCTCAGCGCTGCAGAATAAGAATAACAAGTTTAATTTTCCTTTAATGGACAAACCAGAAGTAGATTTACTGTAGATGAAGACTCCTCCTCTTCCTCCTTTAACACAAAGCTGCGAAGCTTGAAGGAAACCAACAGAACTTAAACAGAGGAGCAAGGACACGTTTATGGTGAGTTTAGAGGATTTTCTGTCAACAACAATAAAATCACTGATTAATAATTTCCTACAATTATTCTTGTTTGTAGATTTTAGTTCAGATTTTCTTGTTTTGGTTCTATAACATTGAACTAAACTACAAATTTATGTGAATTATTTGACTTTTACTGAGAAAAATCTGTTATTATTTTAAAGATATGATTTCACAACTTTTGCAAGAAACAAACACTTATGTTTATGTATTTTAAAAACTGTGTGTGTGTGTGTGTGTGTGTGTGTGTGTGTGTGTGTGTGTGTGTGTGTGTGTTCTCAGACCGACTGTGGTGATGATGATTTGTCCACAGAACTCTGAACAAGGTGAGAACATCTTCAAACCAACATACTGAACACATCTGGTGTCTTTAGAAAATCTTAAACAACCAGAAACATCAGACAGACTCAGGAGGACCGATGTCTCCGTGGCAACAACACATTAATGTCTGCTGTCAATAACTTCCTGTTTTTAATCAGAAACTAGAGTCACACCTGAGTTATTTCATCTAAAACTCTTGTAGAATTCATGCAGCAGAAGCTGTTTTCTGGAGACCATGATGGAGCAGATGTGGGTTGTATGTTGTGAGTGGGTCCAGATGTGGGTTGTATGTTGTGAGTGGGTCCAGATGTGGGTTGTATGTTGTGAGTGGGTCCAGATGTGGGTTGTATGTTGTGAGTGGGTCCAGGTGTGGGTTGTATGTTGTGAGTGGGTCCAGATGTGGGTTGTATGTTGTGAGTGGGTCCAGATGTTGGTTGTATGTTGTGAGTGGGTCCATATGTTGGCTGTATGTTGTGAGTGGGTCCAGATGTTGGTTGTATGTTGTGAGTGGGTCCAGATGTTGGCTGTATGTTGTGAGTGGGTCCAGATGTTGGTTGTATGTTGTGAGTGGGTCCAGATGTTGCCTGTATGTTGTGAGTGGGTCCAGATGTTGGCTGTATGTTGTGAGTGGGTCCAGATGTTGGTTGTATGTTGTGTGTGGGTCCAGATGTTGGTTGTATGTTGTGAGTGGGTCCAGATGTGGGTTGTATGTTGTGAGTGGGTCCAGATGTTGGTTGTATGTTGTGAGTGGGTCCATATGTTGGCTGTATTTTGTGAGTGGGTCCAGATGTTGGCTGTATGTTGTGAGTGGGTCCAGATGTTGGTTGTATGTTGTGAGTGGGTCCAGATGTGGGTTGTATGTTGTGAGTGGGTCCAGATGTTGGTTGTATGTTGTGAGTGGGTCCAGATGTGGGTTGTATGTTGTGAGTGGGTCCAGATGTGGGTTGTATGTTGTGAGTGGGTCCAGATGTGGGTTGTATGTTGTGAGTGGGTCCAGATGTGGGTTGTATGTTGTGAGTGGGTCCAGATGTGGGTTGTATGTTGTGAGTGGGTCCAGGTGTGGGTTGTATGTTGTGAGTGGGTCCAGATGTGGGTTGTATGTTGTGAGTGGGTCCAGATGTTGGTTGTATGTTGTGAGTGGGTCCATATGTTGGCTGTATGTTGTGAGTGGGTCCAGATGTTGGTTGTATGTTGTGAGTGGGTCCAGATGTTGGCTGTATGTTGTGAGTGGGTCCAGATGTTGGTTGTATGTTGTGAGTGGGTCCAGATGTTGCCTGTATGTTGTGAGTGGGTCCAGATGTTGGCTGTATGTTGTGAGTGGGTCCAGATGTTGGTTGTATGTTGTGCGTGGGTCCAGATGTTGGTTGTATGTTGTGAGTGGGTCCAGATGTGGGTTGTATGTTGTGAGTGGGTCCAGATGTTGGTTGTATGTTGTGAGTGGGTCCATATGTTGGCTGTATTTTGTGAGTGGGTCCAGATGTTGGCTGTATGTTGTGAGTGGGTCCAGATGTTGGTTGTATGTTGTGAGTGGGTCCAGATGTGGGTTGTATGTTGTGAGTGGGTCCAGATGTTGGTTGTATGTTGTGAGTGGGTCCAGATGTGGGTTGTATGTTGTGAGTGGGTCCAGATGTTGGCTGTATGTTGTGAGTGGGTCCATATGTTGGCTGTATGTTGTGAGTGGGTCCAGATGTTGGTTGTATGTTGTGAGTGGGTCCAGATGTTGGTTGTATGTTGTGAGTGGGTCCAGATGTTGGTTGTATGTTGTGAGTGGGTCCAGATGTGGGTTGTAAAAATAATAAAATTTTCAGAATCGTTGCTGTCAAGTTCCACAGAACCACAGATGTTTATCAAAATGTTCCTGTTGAGTAAACTGGTTCTTATCAGTTAAGCTGGGATGATCTGCATCAGAGAACATCTTATCTCCATGGTGACTGAGTCGTTTCCTGTTGCAAACCTCTCACATCCCAAACTGTTACAGATCTAAAGTGTTGCAACAAGCTAAGTTAGATCCTTTAGTCTTGACTGAAACTAAAATCTGAGTCGACACATCTGCACTTACAACATCTGTTTACACGCTAAAAACACTCTGGTTTATTATAGATAAGTAAAACATGTCTGGTCCTTGCTGGGGGGGGGGGGGGTTTAGGATGTACGGTTCTTACAGGTTCTACCTGGTGGTGAAGGTGACTGATCAGCCTTTTTATCACCAAGAAGCGTCGTTACAACAAAGAAATAATCAACCAGACACATTTGCTGAGTCTGTGTGACGATCACGTCTGATCCTGTTGAACTGGAGGAGAAACCTGAGTTTGTCTGAGTTGGTGTGATGTTGGTTGTTTATGTTTATGTATTTAGCAGAGGCTTTTTTCCAAAGTGACTTACAAGTGATAATCTGCATGTTGCCCTTGAGGCTAACAATAGCAACAACAAACAATTTCCAGTCAGTCGTAGGTGGCAGTGAGGCAGCATGATGAATCATGGAGAGGAGGGAACAAGGAGTGGACAGTAGAGAGGGGGACGGGTGCAGGGAGGGTGTTAGTTTAGAAGATGCTCTCTGAAGAGCAGGGTCTTCAGGAGTTTCTTGAAAGTCAAAAAGGAAACCCCTGTTCTGGTAGTGCTTGGTAGGTCATTCCACATTTGTGGAACGATGCATGAGAAGAGTCTGGATAGTCCTGAGCGTGGTGTAGGCACTGCTAGCCGACGGTCCTGTGATGACCGGAGCGGCCGGGCCGCGACGTAAGCCTGGTTGTATGTTGTGAGTGGGTCCAGATGTTGATGCGGTTCTCCTCTAAATGCTCCTCAGGTGAAGCTGCTGCCTTTCAGCATGAAAAACCAAACAGGAAGTCAAATCTGCTTCTCTGGGCTCTGCTGGCTGCTGCTCTCATCATTGTCTACAGACTCGGTGAGTTCTGACTGATTTATTTACTATTTCATGTGTTAGAGGACAAGAGGAGAACTCTGTTATTCTGATTTAATCTGATTTTAACTTCTGTCTTTTCTTTAATCAGCTTTTGATAAAATTAGAACCAACAAAACTCTCCAAACCCTGAAGGAGGAGAATGAAGCTCTGAGAAAACACATCTCAGGTGAGAATGTCGGGTTTGAAAGAGTCCAGAAGGTTCAGCCTGGAGGTCTGATTCAGGCCCGTCAGGATGGTTTAATCTGAGACTTTCTGGATCATATATGATGTTTTACTCTAATTCCTTACAGTATAGAACTAATAACAAGGTGTTATTTTCTTTCCCTGAGTGTTTAGACCAACCACTAACTAATATATTCACCACTGATGCTGTAAGGAAACATAAATACACATTTTTAATGATCTTTCAGTTAAAACATTCTGAGTAGCACAGCCCACTGTAGATGACATGTAAGTAGAGGTTTTCTCCTCCTGACCTTTCTGTCCTGTAATGATGTTAAAGAAACATTGATGGAGCCACAGAAACAGGAAGTTAGATGGTAACTGCAGGACAGAAGACGCCTCCTGCTGCCTCCTAATCACACAAACATCTACAGAGATTTCTTCCTCCTGGATGAATCCAGTCTTTGTTCTCATCTGTTCTAAGATCACTTTTGTCTGAAGTTGGACAGAAACTGGGAGAAACATGGAGACAAGTGTTATTATTTCAGTAACATTAGCTTATCCTGGAAAGGGAGCAGAAGTTTCTGTGAGGATCTGGGAGCAGACCTGGTGAAGATCGACAGCAGAGAGGAGCAGGTATGAAACACTGCTGCAGGTTCATGTTCTCACAGATTTCATCATCATGTTTATTCATCTGAGCTCAGAAATGTCTCTGAGTCATTTTCATCTGATTTGATCCAGGAGTTCCTGGTGGAGAAAGTGAAAAACTTTGTGATGGATACTATTTTGGGAAGTTTCTGGATCGGACTGACAGACTCAGAGGTAGAAGGCAACTGGACCTGGGTGGACGGATCTCCACTGGACAGCAGGTCTGATGGTTGTGTGAATATTTCAGTCAGTTTCAGAAAATCAACTTGACAAGGCTTTTCTGGATCAGAGTCTCCAGTTTTAATGGATTTTGTTCTTTTTGCTCATCTGTCAGAATGAAGTTTTGGTTAGAAGGAGAGCCCAATAATGCTTCAGGACGCAGTGTATCTGGAGAGGACTGTGTGGCGATTGTGAAGAGAGGAGTTGAAGATCTGAACACCTGGAATGATGACACCTGTAGCTTTGCTCATAAAAGTATCTGTGAGAAACCAGCAGGAACTGGACCGAGTTCATCTGCTTGTGGCTGAAGTTCAGTTCAGTCTCTGGAACAACCTGAGTCCAACATCCAGGAGGAGCAGAGATGATGTTTGTAGAAAGTTCATCTCACAAACAGCTGAAGCTTCATTTTAAATGTGTGGAAGAGAAAAATTGTATATTTTCTCACATTTTCTTTTTTCTTCTTTAGATAAAATACAAAAGCCTAACCCATAAATAAAAAAAAACATTCAATCATAAATTAGCTTTTTAAACTTTGTTTATGAATTTTAAACATTTAACATATATTTTTAATGCCGGCCTACATGTGGTGCTGCTTTGGTGGATTATTGGATCAAAGTTCTGGTTCCTTGATCTCTGTCAGATTTAGCTAATTGGCTTTTTACTGTGTGCATAGATTTTATTTGTTCTGAATTCATTTTACTGAATCAATCCGGACCCATGCCCGGAGCGGCTAATCGGGAGGGTCTGGACAATTCCCGGTGGGCCGGTCTGATATTTGGGTTCACAAGGGCCGGTGTTGTGATTCTGGACCGGTGTTCAGTCGTCATGCCACTGGGTTGATCCCCAAGGCCGCCTACCTGAAAGGGCCTATCACAGTGGTGCAAAAAGTGGGTATGCAGTATATGCGGCGCAAAGGGGCGCCAGACTGGAGGGGGCGCCATAGCAATGATGCAAAAATATTTTAGTCTGCATTTCCTGTGTTTAATAGCAACTGTGTTTTGTCCGTTTGTGTATCTGCAACTTATTTACTTAATAACAGAGAAGCATGTGTGATTAGGCCAATCAGAATTTCCCAGTGGGTCAGTCTGGTCGCTGTTATTAGTTGTTATTTTCAGGCCGGTGTTCAGATTACACTCTATAGGTCACCTGCTGCTGACGAGAGGATTTCTCCTGTCAGTGTGGAAGGAACAGGTGAGCTGCCGCTTTAGCTCCTAGAGACACTTTCCATGCCCAGACTGTAGTGACCTGTTATTTATCATTTTATAATTAATAATAAGTTAATAAATACACTAAAGCCACAGCACGTGATAGAAAGTAAGATTAAATAAGTCTGAATCTTTTCTCCCGCAGCTCAGCTCTGTTACAGAAATAAGCAGCTGGACAACATCAAGTATAAAACGTGTTCACAGATAACTATTTTATAGAAAAAAACTATATGAATTTTTCGTTTTAAGATTTATTTTATTTAAGTTTTATCTAAGGTTTGGATGTCTGTGAACATTACATATTTTTCTCATTGGTATAAAAAACATAATAATATCATGCACAATATTATTAATAACAGGTCATGATTTAGTCGGTCTGAGGTCTAAAACTCTGCCCTGGGCCTAAAGCCCTACAGACAGATTTAGTTCCTATAAACAACAACAAATAAAAATCAGCTGCTGGATTCTACTTTGTTCCTTAAATTGAGTCACATAGTTTAACAAGTTCTGCACGCTATATAAAATATAATCAATCACATATATTATAATGCCATAGATACTACACTCTAACTCTAAATGTTTCTTCTCAAAATGCACCAGACTGATGCTTTTAAATATAAAATATCCACGCCCCCGGACCCCCCTAGAGTAGTTCAAGATTTATCATCTTTCCCCTCTGATCTTTGTCATGTCTGCCCTGTTCTTTCATGTCTTGTACCACATCTTCTGGTGGTGTATAAGAACTGGAAGATATTTCAAATACACTTAGATATAGACATATAGACACTTAAATATACTTAGAAAGGCAGTTTAAAAGATTGAGTTCGATAAAGAGGTGTGTGTGTGTGTGTCGTCGGGAGTTTGGTGGGGGGCAATTATGTGTCTGCATAACCCTCTGAAAGTAGGTAGTTGAGCCCATGGCCTACCATGGCAGGTA